ATTTTTAAAGAATGAAAGTCGTAAAAAAACATTTTATTACATCCAAATTAATTGCAATTAATATTAACAACCATCTTATCTAACTTCATCCTTATTTTCTTTTGGTTTTTACTTTTATTCTTTTCCTCACTCCAATAGATTGTTCTGTATCGTCATCCTCATCACCACCGCGTTTTTTCCGTTTGCCTGACTTTTTGTTATCTTCCATGTTTTTCATGTCCTAGAATGTTGTAATAACATTTATATGTAATTGTCTATTTCAGTTATCAAATTGTACATTATAAAATTGTTTTTACCATTTTTACTATTCGCTGCGCTTCGCTTACTCTCTCTTGCAGCAACATTACTTCTTCCTCTTCCGTAGGAAATAATGGCAATTGTTTCGATATCAACTGTTCTATTCGTTGATATAACTCCACGTCGTACTGTGTAACAAATGTGATGGAACGGCCTGATCGACCTGCACGTGCAGTTCGACCTACTCTGTGTATATAATCTTTACTATGTGTAGGGATATCAAAATTGATGACGATATCTACATGCGGAATATCAAGACCTCTACAAGAATAATGCAAAAATGTTTAAAAATTTATTTTTAATACAAAACATTTTAATATGATATCTCTTTGATTCAGATTACGAACTAACCTGCTAGCAACATCCGTTGAAATTAAAATAGACCTGTTTTTTGCTTTAAATTTCGTAAGTGCGGCGATTCTCTTATTTTGCGTCATTTGCCCATGCAAAGGAACCGCTGTGAATCCCAAGTTTCGTAACAATAGGGCAGTCCTTACTGTGTTATTACAGGTTCCGCAAAATATCATGAAACTATTACCCGCCAGTTCATTCAAGATATGTACAAGATATACATCCTGCAACGATTGTTTTATATACAACTATTTTGATAAATATTTTACAAATATTATATGTGGTAATTGATATTTTATTTTGCGATTTAATAGTTACGTCGTTTATATTTCGTACCTTGAATTTCACGGGAATAAATATGTAATATTGTTGCAGTTTTTCTACAGTCTGATATTTGGTGGACACTTCAACTTTTACAGGATTTCGTAAAGATGCACGTTGTAACTTCTGGACTTTCTTAGTCATCGTCGCCGAAAATAATAACGTCCTCCTTTCCCGTGGTATTACTCTGAGAATTTTATCAACCTCTACCTCGAAATCCATGTTCAAGATACGATCTGCCTCGTCCATAACCTTGCGAATAAAACAAGTAATAAAAAAATTAACGTGATAACTATCAAAATAAAGAGTCTCTGTTATATAATTACCAGAAACTTTAACTGTCGTAAATTGAAGCCTTTTGTATTCTCCAAGTGATCAACTAATCTACCAGGTGTAGCAATGATGATATGAGGTTTCTTCTCCAGTATCATTCCCTGCGCATGCATGTCCATCCCCCCTACTAGCACTACAGTTTTTACGCCAATACTGGAACCTAAAATAATTGTGATGTAAAATAAAACAAAATATTTAACAGACAAAATAAGCAGTTCTTACCTAATGCATCAAATTGCTCTGAAATTTGAAATGCCAATTCTCTTGTAGGTGTTAGTATCAGCGCAAAGTATCTCTGAGGATTCTCTAATAATGCTTGTAATATAGGTAATGCAAAAGCAGCAGTTTTTCCCGATCCAGTTTCTGCTAATCCAATCACATCCTTGCCTAACAGTAAAAAATCGTTGTTACTTTTTTAGAACTTGATTATAATTAAATCATTGTTTAAATTACCTTGAAGCGTCAAAGGAATAGCTTCTTGTTGAATCCTGGTAGGTTCCTTCCATTTTAAATCTAAACATGTTTTGCAGAGTATATCCACAAGTCCCTATAATGATTATTCCTTTGTTAATCATTTAAAATGTTCTACCAAAAAAGGTTCATAAAAATATTTACAATTTATATTTTTATAAGTTATTTTAATTATGTAATATAGCTTAATATAGTAAATAAATATTATATGAAATGCAATTCCTTTTATGCTAAATATTATTCATACATTTTGTTCATTATAAAATTTAAAGATTTGTTTGTTATAATGTGTTTGATTCATATATATTTTTAAAACATTTTTAAAAAACTTTTTCAACCGTCAATAATTTTTATAAAATTGACGAATTATGATCTTAAGATATATTCCAGAGTGTTTGAATATATATGCTTCTTCTCTTTATCTTTCTCTTGCTCTTTCCTTCTCCCTTCCATATCCCTCTCTATTTGTCTCTTATCGCTAATATTTAAAAGATAATTATTATTATATTATATATTCCTCTTTTTCTCTTTCTTTAATTTCTTAATTACTTTGATAAATTAACAATTCCCAAGATCATAAAAATTTACGGTAATAAAATGTAAAAATTTGTTGATATTCATGAAGTGATATGAAATGATGACACAGTCAAACACATCATTTAAGCTGTGTATGATTGTGTCGACTTGTGCTATAGTTGGAAAGCACTACACAGTGTTACATATGGTTTGTTCGCATTGTGTGCTCCAATAAGCTCCAATAGAGCTTACAGTGTCGTCTATGTATGTTGCTAGAAAATACCTTTCAGTAAACACTCTAATATAAATAATCCATTTGTTATTATTCTTACACTTTATAAATCTTTTTCTTATAATTTCATAATTATAAAATGCCACAGAAGAGAATTAGGATACGTAACTTGTTTCGGAAACAGTATAAACACATACATATTATAATTTAATACCATAATAATCTTTCATATAAATTTTCATAAGTACTAATCAAGTACTAACAATGTGCGCAATTTTGAGGTTATAATTGATATCACTACAATTGTTGAGTACTTACCAAATCTTTCCATGTGATTTTTTCGACGTTATCTTTAGTATCTTCGACTGATTTTTCTAAATTCTCCATGTTTTCACAAATCGTAACTATGTCCAACACAAATAGTTAAATCATAAATTGGCAGCGTTCTAAGATTTTCAAAATCCAGGTCACAGTCACGTTTTTTAACGTTCTTCGATTTGTTTCTACTCACTTCCATTAACATCCACCGATGTAACTAGGCAAGTGTGCTTCCTCTTCCTCTTTAGGCAAGTGTGCATAAAGGCACAAATACGTAAAAAAATGATTTATTCGGAATCCAGATGGCATTACGTATTTTGGCGTTCCTAAAGCTTCTCGTACAAACAGCATTTTATTAGAATATGGTGTGTTCGAGGAAACATTGGTCTACTTTTCACTGAGGGTTTAATCCAGATCAGAATGTAAGAACCAACCAACTACTCGAACTTCTCCTGTCGACTGTAAGACCGTGTTCATACCTTGACGGAAAAGAGGAAAGCGGAAAAGCGGAAGCCAATCAGAATTCGTGGAAAGACAGAAGCAGAGAGCGAAATGTACCGTCTACTACAACTGCGAGTTCCAATTGGACCCGACCTGACAGGGAAATACTCGACTGTAGTTGGTTGGTTCTTACATTCAGATCCGGATTAAACCCTCGGTGGAAACTAGGCCATTGGTGGAAACGGGCATTAGAGCAACTCTACTGTTATACTTTATTTTGAAGCGCCTCTATGTCCACAATATGTGAACATTGAACTAAGTAGCCATGTCCATGATCCGGTCGGTAATGCCCACGATTTTTTGATTGTATTCTTCGCTATGTCCACGAATTTCGGTCCATTAGACAAAACTGTGAATTGCTTGTAAAGCCGGTTCTACATTGATAGGTTGCAAGCCTATCACAAGTTTGTTCCACAATACATGATTTCTGATAGGTTAAAATTCTTATTCTCTATTCCCTGTTCCTTTTATTGTGCAGAGCCCCTTAGATAAACAAACAATCTGTCGGCGCTTGTAAAGCCAATTCTACATTAGTTGCAAACTGATCGCAAGTTTGTTGTGCGACAGCCAATACAAAGCGTTGATTTCAAAATGCAAGTTTCATGTTAGCTTGCAATTAATGTAGAACCGGCTTTACAAGCGCCGACAAATTAATTGTTTGTCTACTAAAAGCTCCATGTAGTAAAAGGAACAGGGAATAGAGAATAGAGAATAAGAATTTCAACCTATCACAGAAATATATTGTGAAATACACAGTTTTTGATAGGTTGAAACTCTTATTCTCTGTTCCCTGTTCCTTTTATCGTGCGGAGCCCCTTAACGTTCGCAATGCTCGCGAATATATTATCTTTGTTTATTAAATATTGTATTTGAAAACGATGAGGATGAAATGGTGCTCGCGAGCATGTGAACATTAAGTGCAAAGCACCCTAGTTGTTTTCACGATTTTAGCCTGGTTCCACTGATGTAAGAATAATTTTAATCCCTGTTCAATTCACTCGTTTTCTTTTTCTAATTCTAAGAATTAGCAAAACGTAAACAGTAATGTAAAATTGATAATTATTTAGAATACGACCATCACTTCCGATTTTGATGAAATTAGGTTTATTTGATGTGTTTTTGTACAGAACGAAAGAATCTGTAAGAAAAAAACATTAGGATAGTCCCACGAACCAAGATATTAAGCGTTATATTTGACGACTATAGAGGTTAGGAAATCCGTCGACAAGATACAACGACATGTACGAACATTTTGGTTACATCTGAGACTCGATTGTGTATTTTGAAATGAGGTAAAAATTACAAAAGTGAGCAATGATTACTAGGTATTGACCAATTAAATTATGAATATTCTAGTGAGTTTGTAATTTTCATTTCATTTCAAGATGCACAATCGACTTTTTGCATGCGCTGTGGTCGTGCGTTTTAGTAACTACGTTAGAGATATCGAATGATTGTAGTGAACTTCGCATACGTAAATGCTATTTCGGAAATTTTCTGCACATTTAAAGAAATGTTAGATCTAAACTTTAATCCATATAAAAAAGTAATTTTCTTTAATATCAATATTTTATAATTACTCATTCACAATTATATTCTCTGCTTGACAAACAAATTATCTGCTTTACGCTGGTTCTACAATGATCGGTAATCATAAATCTTATTGATGAAGTTGACCAATAGCCAACTTATACGACTAAGGCTGATTGGCCAACTTCACCGATTAAGATTAAGACTTCCGACTATCGACTCATTGTAGAATCAGCATTACAAATACACATTTGTGTTTGTAAAGCAGAGAATTTATTTTTAAAGCAGACAATTTGTCAAGCAAAAAATTTGTTCGTACATGTCGCTGCATCTCGTCGATAAAACGAATTTTCTAATCTCTAGTCGTCAACTTTAACGCTTAATATTTCAGTTCGCGGAGTCGTCCTAACGTTTTTTCTTACAAATTCTTTCGTTTTGTGCAAAAACGCGTCGAATAAGCCTAATTTCATCAAAATCGGAGGTGATGACCGATTCTAAATAATTTTCCCAAAATTAAAGTTAATTACAATAGTGCAACTGGGTCTTGATGTCAATTTTAATTTAAAAAAGAAGAAACTGTGTTGAAATAGCTAAAACAGTAGAAGACACCTTATGTTTCCTCCAATCGAAGGAAAAAAAAAATTATCTCTATTATAAATATTATATTGCTTGATATTAAAAAAAAATAAAAATAAAAAATGGTAGTTACTTGCTGTATTGGTAACTGTAAAAGTTTATGGATAAGAGGCGACATTATTACTTTTCATTGGTAAATATAACTAAAATATATATATATAATATGTGTACATAGTTATTAAGTTAAAAAAAATATATAATTATAAGATATAAGAAATGTTATAAAAAAATGTAAAATGTTTATTTTATTCTTTCATGTACAAACTTTATTTTTAGTTTTCCTAAAGATGAACGTTTACGCAAACAATGGATTTCAGCAATTCCATCTAATATTTTAAGAACTACAGATATTAACCAACATTCTAGATTATGTAGTAAACATTTTACAGCAGAATGTTTTGCTGAATCTACTTCATTTAAATCTCTACGAAATATGTTAAATAAGAATGCTATTCCAACAATATTTGAAGAGTGCCAAGAGTCCCAGTATCAGTTAGTTGAATTAGTAAGTAAATCTTATAAATTTATCATGTTAAATCTATTTTAATAATAAGTTTATGTAATATAAATTATTTACAAAAAAGAATTGAATTTTTATTAGGGAAAAGAGATCTTGCCAAATATATTAAACATCGAAGTTGATCCGCTAGACATTAGTAATGAAAATTGTAAAATGGTAATTATGTAATCAAGATTTATTATGCTATAAATTAAAATTAGATTTTTAAAATATAATTATAATATAATTTAATCATATAAAAAAAATAATTATCTTATACAGGAAAAACCCAATTTGTCATATATTTTAAAAAGAGAAATTGGTGTGCAAACATTAAAACGGAATTTTGATGAATCAGAAAAAATTATACAGAGTTTGACAAAACGCTTGAAACAACGTGATGAAAAAATTAAGAACTTGGAGGAACGTCTGAAAAAGAAAGAAACTGAAGAAAAAAATGATAGCATGAAAATGATAAAAGATGCTGTTAACAAGTATATCTGCGAGGAAAGAAAAGAATTATTTTTGCATGAATTTGCGAATAATGAGACTGGTTCTAGTAAGAAAACTTATAGTGAATATATGAGGCAATTTGCCGCAGCTACATATCATCATAGTCCTAAAGTATATAAAATTTTGAAGAAACTGATTACTTTACCGACTACTTATACCGCAGCTAGATGGTTGATAGATTTTAGTCAAGATCCACAATTTATGGAAGAAATAAAATGAATTATTCAACTTCATACAATTTTAATTATAAAACGCAGTTTATTCATTTCGTACTCAGTATTTCAATATCAAAATTATAACCATAAATATGATATTGTATGATTATAACCGTAAATATATTGTGATATGATAATTATAAATAAATGGTAATCGTGATCAATGCAATTATTTTATTTGTATTTTTTGATTATAACCGTAAATATATTGTGATATGATAATTATAAATAAATGGTAATCGTGATCAATGCAATTATTTTATTTGTATTTTTTGATTATAACCGTAAATATATTGTGATATGATAATTATAAATAAATGGTAATCGTGATCAATGCAATTATTTTATTTGTATTTTTTTTGTATATTAAAGTGTGATAATAAAAAATGTCATTATTCGAATTAAATTTGTATATTTGTATCATATATGCAGTATCTAACAATATTACACAGCATCAGCAGAGACAAATCTTTTTATTAACAGTATTAGATGTTGAAGATGGAACATACCTTCCTCAGGATTTAATTTCCCTTATTGATGAAATATATAAATATTTTTCTTAATAAAACCAATTTCATATCCACATAAACTTGTGTTTATAAGATATACATACAAATATAATTAATTAAAGAATGCAATTTGATACACAAATTTATTCACAGTTAATAATAAAGTTTAAATATATTTACAAGAATGGAATATGCAAATACAAGACAGAATAATCGAGCATGTTTAAACTAATTATTCCCAGCCTCTTTAACATTCTGCTTGGATTCAATCAAATCCTTCATAATGTAATTATTTACACGATTGTATTTGTTATGTGTCTGTGATATTCAATACACTTTAATAGCCTAAATTAAGATCTAAATATAAAAAAATATAACTATAAAATATAGACTCAGCTGCTTAATCCAAGCCTTCTTTCTTCATATATATATATATATATATATATATATATACATATATTAACTTTATATCTTATATATGAGTATACCTTAAAACGTTCTTCGAACAACGAGAGTTCTGCGATCAAATCAGTGATGGCATGCATAAATGCTTCGTGTGGAGTATAATCAGAAGTTGTCTGTATTCTAATAACAAATTTGTGTTCCAGGGGATGAGGAACTTTGTAGCCAGCGAATAATACTTGAGGATCCTTCAATAACTGACTGAAGAATTGAAAGAAATTCACAAAATTAGCTAGCTACCTAAAAAAGAATCAAAGTACAACATGCTCGTACGTTTACTCACTTGCGGATCATATTTCCCAACGTGTGATCTTCCTTGTTAATCGTAAAAATCGCAGCATTTGGTACTTTGGTGTCCTGTTCCTTTATAATCCTACAAAAAACGCAAATATTAATGTGTTTCTAGAACCTAAACGTGGTTAGATCTCGATAAATATCAAAGATCAGCATACTTTTTTTCTCCCTCATATAATAAGAATGACTCAAAGGTCGGAGGTGCGTTCATCTCGCTTGGTCAATTATTAACAACACTTCAAAACTAATTGCTATTGAAATATCGATAGTGAATCACCGGTTGACGAACTGTCGTAATCGTAATTACTGTTGATGACCATGCGTCTGTTGCATGTTGCGTCTACAGCTGTTACTGCGAGTTGACAATCGATTGCGACAAATCGATACGACGATTCGATAGCAGACAAATTTGCCATGACGTCATTCGAACGAGTTCAAATATTTGTCAATGGCTTCGTCTCTTTATCGATGTTTTTGATACTTTAATACCTGTAATCGAAAAAGGCAAATGGAAACGTAATAAGAACGGCAGGAGTAATAGTAGGCGTAATATTTTAGTTATTTCTTACAAGTTTACTTATTCAATAATAATAACAACATATGTTTTTATCAAGGAAAACTTGTTTCAATTTTCTAGGAAGAGTGGAATATATCCTAATGTGTTTATTATTGAGACAAAGAGGTGGAAAAGAAGGAGAGAGAAAGAGAGAGAGAGAGAGAGAGAGAGAATGAATGAATGAATAATAAAGAATAAAAGAGTGAGAGGAGAGGGAGGGGAAGAGAGAGAGAGAGAGAGAGAGAGAGAGAGAGAGAGAGAGAGAGAAAGAAAGGAAACTTCATTTCAAAGAAATCACGCGCTTTCTCTCTCTTTCTTAAGTTTGAACGTGTACAGATTCCGTGTCTTTGTCTCTCTCTTTCGAGCATTGGACTCGCAAATTGAACTCGACTCGGTCGTCATCAGTCGTCATCGTGTCCGGATGGTTCGGGTGCCGCGGGATTAATCGCTGCTTACACCTTCGCACGACAGGGGCGTTGCGAGCGTTCGTTTTTATCCGCCTTTTACATTTCCCACGCCGCGCCCACCCAAACTGAAACCCAAGGCGAAGGGCGAAGGTGCGGGCTGCGGGCTGCGGGCTGCGGGGCGCGGATAAGGGATAGCTGTGGCTGGTGGAAGGTGGAAGGTGGAAGACCGAAGGCGAAGACTGAAGAGCGCGGCGGCGTCAGTGACGCGGCGTCGTTGCGCGTCGCTCTCTCGACGAGAGTTTATCGCGCGGGTAGCGTACAAGGAGCGTTTCGCCGAGCCACACTACTCCCGACAGTTCCGACTCCGGGACGCAAAGTAGTTGTCAAAATGGCGGCGTGCGAGGGTTCCGCGAGCGTGAATCCTAATTGCGAGGTGGTGCGCGGGCAAACGTTCGAGGTCGGGCCGCGCTACACGAATCTGTCATATATGGGCGAAGGCGCTTACGGCATGGTCGTGTAAGTGTTCATCGGTCGTGTCACGACCGCTCGCTCGATCGGCAGCTCGATCGCCGCTTGCGGCGGCCGGCCGATCTTCTGATTTGACAGATCGACTGACAATAAACATTTGAGAGCGGCGACGCGAACGGAGACGCGACGGCGACGAGCGGACTAGCGGTGATCCACGGCGATCGCCGACACTCGTCAAGATGAGAGAGCCGTGTCTTCGAATCACGTCCGAAGACAAAAGCCCCCTTCCGGACAAAAGCCGCCGATCGGTGTACGCTGTCGGCTGTACGCGTCGACGTCCGCGCGCCGCTCCGCTCGCGCTCGACGCTCGTATCTCGTATGATAGTATGTACGCATGACGTACGCACACACGCACGCATCATGGTCTCTTACACGTTCTACCGTCTACATCACTTTCAAATGCACGTCACGCCCCTTTCACCGTATTTTTCCCATTCATATCTTTTCTACATTTCCTTATTTTCCCTTTCTTTCTCTCTTCCTTTTTTTTTGTCTGTCTCCTCTCGTTTTATCTTCTTGCATTCATCCATACGTCATGCTAATCAGATGAAAATTCTTTCTCACTTTGAGATTTACTAATCTTATCTTATCGTTTTTATCATCTATTGCTATTATATTTAACATGATTATGATCTAGCATGAATTATATCGCGACGAATTTATGTTAAAAAGTGACGAAATATCTTTGCGCGCCAAAAGATATTTCGGAGAGAATTCCGTTTCGCGACTTGGATTCTGACGGTAGATTCTTTGAGAAATTCGGAATTGATTTTTCTATAATTACGATGTTGCGTTGATAATATTGATGTCGAATAAAAATATCGGAGCTCCGACTTATGCGCGATTAAAAAGAGATTTCCTCTAATCGCGTTGCCTTTGATGTATCCTGATCCTACTAGCTTTTCTTACCTTAATCTCTCACTTTAATCTTCTAGATCTTGTTTTAATGAAACGAACATAAATTGCAGGGCACCATTTTAATAATCTATTTATAATTTTAATATTATTTATCGGTAATAAAATCTTTCTAAAAAGATAAAGCTACTTCATTATTGGATATCAAAAAAATAATTACAATCTGATTTCTTAAGCTATATAAATAATATTGTTTTTAACTTTTATGTGTGTCAAAATGTAAATCTATTTCTGATCTTTTCTCTAATGATTAATTTAAATATAAACAACATTCATATTGACATATATATATACTTGGTAAATAATAAATTAATCTTATATCAAATTTAATCCTTTGAGTTTATTTAATACATTGTACAAATTTAATACTTGAATTAAACAATTCAACTCCTTTGTTTTAGTTAAATTAACGACATATTGAATCAATAATGATTTATAGAAATTATTAAAAATAATTCAAATTGGGTGTAATTTGGGTTATGAATTTAACAGTATTTATAACAAAGAAAATTATTTATTGCATTTTTCACTTATTTCATTACTTTTACATCTTCACATCTCCATATTCGGTTATCTATCCCAATAGATAAGATTAAATAAAGATTAGAGTTTTAATAGATTTCAAATGTATATCGAGTCTTTCTCTCAGATATACCTAATTTGTGTTATTTTTAATAATTTCTTTAGATAGCCACTGCTCATATTCGATATATCCGTTATTCGATATATCCGTTATTCGATATATCCGTTATTTTGATTAAAATAATGAAGTTAAACAATTTAACTAAAAAAAAAATATAAACATCGCCCATATTAACGTGCATATCCTATATTTAGTAAATAATAAATTAAATTTAAATCAAATTTAATTTATTATTTACTAAATATAGGATATGCACGTTAATATGGGCGATGTTTATTTTTAAAGTACAGAAATGGATTGATTTATATTTTGATATACGTAAAGTTAAAAGTAAATAAAATGTTATTTTCTAAATGTGTACGTAAATATGGATGATGTTTACTTCGAAACTAATCGCGGAAATGGATTGATTTATATTTTTACACGCATGAAATTAAAAATAATAAAATGTTATTTAATTCAAGGAATTGAATTACCATTGTTCCTTTGATATCTAATCGATGTAATCGATCAGCCGGAACTCTTAAGATGCGTTCCGAGTCGCATGAAGCGTATGATGCATCATTTGTCCTTGTTGTTTACCAAATAATAAAGAAGGATAAAACAATAAATCATCAGTTTCATGCGTAACTCGGAACGCATCCTTAGTCACGGCTTCTGATGTAATACATCTGGACACATTGAGCGAATTTGATTTATCGCTAAGAATCCTGTATCGCGCGCGAACCACATCCTATCACCGCGATACCGACAAAGACACAAGTTTCTCTATGGATAAACTCACACTAAGTTAGGTCAAGCTTTCCAGACGATAGCAGAAAAGATAAACAAATGCGCTGAATGAATAAAGCGACTGCTCCAGTCTCCAGTCTTTAGTCACCGAAAAGTAATGCGTTCTGAAAAACATGAATAAAGATATTAGATTATTGTGCTTGCGCTCTGAGCAGACAGATAATGGCTGCGTTCAGCATAAAAAGCAGCTTTATAACTGTTGTAAAATTCTTGAATATTGGTTTATACATTTAGATCAAGTGAGGAATTAAGGGCAAGACCAATTATATTAAAGAATTTTATAACAGTTTCAAAGCTGCTTTTTCTGCTGAACGCAGCCAAAGGCACTTGCTTTTGTGAAGCAAGTTTGTGGAAATATATGAATAGAAGAAAATTTCATTTATATGTAATTTAATTTAAATTTAATTTAATTTTCTACTTAGGAAAATGTATATTTTGAAATATAAAGATTGACGCGTTTGAAAACTTTATTTCCTTGTCATCGAATGTATTCGTTTCATTCTTCAATAATATATATACGGATAATTTATATTATGTGTAACTATTTATAAATGATATATTATTTGTAAATATATCAATTATATATATAGTATATATTTTTTTACGCTTATACTATCGATCGCGAATAAAATACGAAATAAATATACATATAAAAAAAGTTTAAAAACAGAAGAATATGTATGACGAAATAAAAACCGTCTTCTTATTTATCAAAATTTTTTTCACTTTATTTCATTTTAAAATAAATAAATCGCAAGGCTAGATTTCTTATTTTAAAGATATTTTTTTATACTTACAAAAGAATTCTTTTTCTTTTTTCTTTTTATCTGTTAGTTTATTATTTTTATTAATCTGTCTTTCAAGATAAAATTTTGGATTCATAAGTACGTGAAAAGATTGTTACAATTATTAAATCATGAATGTATGAAATATATTGCGAATAAAAGATGTCAGGAGTGTGGAGTCTCTATTGCTTTTCTAGCAAAGGATTACTCGTACAAATTGCGTTGTTTTTATCCTGCATTTTTATTTTAAAACAAATATTTGCTCTTCTACTTTTATTGTTTGTTGAAAAAGACTTTCTTTTATTCATATGACCCGAGATGTACTGTGAGATAATTGGAGAATTATGAGGCGCTTGGAGTAGCAACGCGCGCTAAAGAGGTCTCCGCGGAATAATAAATGTGGCTAGGTTTACCTTTATAATATTTTCTTGCAGGTCCGCCTACGACAACCTCACCAAAACGAAAGTAGCCATAAAAAAAATCTCACCTTTCGAACATCAAACGTATAGTCAGAGAACCTTAAGAGAAATAAAAATTCTCACAAGGTTTAAGCACGAGAACGTAAGTTGGACGTCCCAACAGTTTGCGCTAAGCGTACCTTTTACAAAGTATCGTTATTAATATATTGCGTTCTCTCTTACAATAGATAATAGATATAAGGGATATATTAAGAGCGCCGACTATGGAGCAAATGAAAGACGTATATATCGTTCAATGTCTGATGGAAACTGATCTCTATAAATTACTAAAGACACAAGTAAGTATTGGCATGCATTCTGTAGATCTGCGTTAAAGACGAAAGAGGAAAAAAAAACACTGCAAATTTAAGGAAACGTCCAAATAAAATTCTCGTTTTGCAGGCTATTAGTAACGATCACATATGTTATTTTCTGTACCAAATATTGCGGGGGTTGAAGTATATACACTCGGCGAATGTGTTACATAGAGATCTGAAGCCGAGTAATCTGCTGTTGAATACCACCTGTGACCTTAAAATCTGCGATTTCGGTCTAGCGAGAGTCGCGGATCCAGAGCACAATCATGCGGGTTTCCTCACGGAATACGTAGCGACGAGGTGGTACAGAGCTCCGGAAATTATGCTTAACTCCAAGGTATTCGTTTTCACAAGTGAAAATTCATTCAAGGAATGAGAACCATGCACATTTCACGCGTCTACGTGGCTCTAACATAGTTCTCTTAACACAGGGTTATACCAAATCCATAGACATTTGGTCGGTAGGCTGCATCCTGGCAGAGATGCTCTCGAGACGAGCGATATTCCCCGGCAAACACTATTTAGATCAGTTGAATCATATTCTCGGTGTTCTCGGATCGCCCTCGCCGGAGGATCTCGAGTGCATCATAAATGAGAAAGTACTGGATGCTTACATCTACCTCTGTTTTTGCATCTCATAGAATCTAATCCAAGAATATATATGCATCTTGCATTGCACTTTATGGCTCGTTGACTCGCATTTTACATTTATAATATAATGATATCAAAGCATTCTGATTTTCTTCTTCTAGTTAGTCCTGTATGGATTTCTGACCCTATAATTGGGTCATAGTATTATATGTAGAAAGGATCTGATGATCATTCTGATTTTAGGCACGGAATTATCTCCAATCGTTGCCATATAAGCCAAAGGTACCGTGGACGAGTCTTTTCCCCAATGCCGATCCAAGAGCCTTGGACCTCCTAGACAAAATGTTGACGTTCAATCCTAATAAGCGTATTGTGGTGGAAGATGCGTTGGCGCATCCCTACTTGGAGCAATATTATGACCCTGGCGATGAGGTATATTTCTATATGCAGTAAAATTGCAATCACGAATGTTAATTGTAATTACAAGTAATGTTGTTATTCGTAAATTTTAGCCTGTGGCAGAGGAGCCGTTTAAGTTTGACATGGAGTTGGATGATCTTCCAAAAGAAGTATTAAAACAATATATTTTTGAGGAGACTCTATTGTTCCAAAAAAATCATCAAGAGAACGCTATGTAGTCGACTGGTAATTGTTAAATTCGTCTTTTATCGTATCGCCAATCTCTTGATGCGCTGACAATTGAATGTTACTTCCCTTTCTTTTCGTCAGGCATGCTGTTGCCAGAATTGCAATAGTGGATACGCGTGATGAACTGAAAAAAGAATAGAATGGAACGGAAAACGAACAATATCAGGATTGGTATGAAGAGTGCTTTTAAAAATCATCGCCACTTCATCGCCGCTCGAATTGCCGATGATACAAAAATACTAGGATATTGATGAAAGATTTAGTTCAGCGATCAACGAACGATTAATCAAGCCGATTAATCGGGTGAGTGAAACAGTCGCAATGCCGCGCATACGCTTGTACATTCGCATGTCCTTACTCGGAGAAAGCAAATATAGTGTTTCTTATGTTATACCGAACATAGCATAATATCAATTGGTACAACATGTATTTTTAATTTATCATCGTCGTACCGTATCGTACCATACCGTCTGTCTGTGATTTAATTGCGAGCGTGACGAGGCGTGACACGCGAAACACTTTATCTTCATTTCATCGTTTCTTTTCGAATTATTTCTTTTACCTTCTGAAAGTGAAATGGCTGAAATTACAACGCATAATTATGTGGCGTAACTAAGGCAATATATTCGGCTTATCGTGCCTCGATATTTTCCGATATCGGAAATATCATAGATATCGAGAATATCGACACTAAACTCATTCACTCTACGTCTACGAGATTCGAACACTTGTAGCGCACTCGTATAATTCATTTCGTATGATGTTTTTCGTCTTATGTGTGTACGTATGACTGTGTTTGCGTGCGTATGTACGTACGTGTGTGGCAGAATTTCTTTTGGTATTTAATCTGTTTATAATAGTCAACGTTATAGCGAATACGCGACGTGCAATAATCGGCGCGTTCACGAAAATATTAGTATATAATTTATGATAAAAAGAGAATCGTGATCTTCTTTCTGAGCGTGTGATAGTAACGACGGTGCCCGAATCATGAAAACTAAAGTGAAAATTTGAATAACATGTAGAAGAAAGTCCCAAGTTAGTATTTCGGAAATTTTACAAAATGTTATTACATCGTTTGAACTTCTCATCTGCTCGTAGAGCCTCCCAAAATTAATAAATTAATCGCAATCCAAAATCTATTTACGATAAAATTAATTTGAATTGCTATAGAAGTCGAATTCGCTGACAGATATCAATAGCTCCATTCGGCCTTACTGTGAATATAGAGAATTTTTTTAATCCTATTCTCAAGAAAACTATAGGTTGTGAGAGACGAGGTGAAAATTAAGAAAAAAAGAAGTGAAGGGCAAAAAATACTAAAACAGGGACAAAGTATTTACTTCCTCTATTAACTGTTACCGATCTTCACTTTCTTCGATAATCTAATAATAATAATTAAAAAATAAATTAATAATAAAAATTCGTTGTTCATAAGATTCTTATCTAGGTCTAAGATGCATTTCTAGTGATTACGGATTCTCGTTGAGGCTGATTCATGCTGATGCTCCTTCCTAAGAATACGAGGGACATAACAGTGAATAATGTTCTATCATTACCATAATGTCATGATTTCAATCTCCGCATCTTCGATTTAATACATATTTATCTTCCTTCAATGTTTATCCGTTGTTCGTTTGGCAAATTGTCGTGAGCAAAAGAGTTAAAGAATCTCTCGCGGTTTACAGTTTTCTTGCGCGGTACAAAAGTCTCGATTACAAAACGCGAATAAATTACACTTAGATGGCAAGTAGTTCGATTATCTCACGACGTACACACAGGCATAATCTCTTCCAAAATAAAATTACCAAGTAAATCCTTTATAACGACAGATTCTAAATTAGTGGTCATTTCACGTTAGTTGATGCTATTGGATAATGAATTCGGATGATTTTAGTTGTACGTGTAACTCAAAGTAAAGTAAATGTATATCAATCTTCCAATGATCCACGGATGGATCTTAGTCGTTATTTGAGTATTTCACATGCGGATACAAAGAACTACTTTCGATAGATACATACATATGTGCTTCTATTTCTTACAAGTTTCTCTTCCCGTGATAGAGTTGAATTAAAAATTTAAATTAAATTGATATAATAAATCTTGCATTTGAAATTTCTGAAAACCGTATACTAATAATGTATAGTGAGTGTGATCTCTTTATGAAGAATTTAATTCGTCTTGACAGAAAACCAGTTCATACCAGTTCACGGTAATATGTTAGAATTTAATACACAATATTCAGCTATTTTCTCCCTGTAAAACGCTGACTCCGCAGACGAAGTCTTTTATGACCTTATGTCACTACTGCAGAGTTAAATAAGACACCTGTTACATCAACGGATGCGATCCGTATATCGAGTCCTTTTGAAGAATGCTCTCTCACGTCCGAGGCCTTTTAAACAGTTCGTATAATATCGTAGATCATGGGCAAGCGATGATAAAATCGTGCGCTCAGCGAAATTGTAAGCCGACGAGAAATCGAAGCTCTCGCTGTCAATGATAATTGGATACGTAGTACATACACATAGATTCCTAAATAACACAACAGCGCTTGCAAAGCGCTAAAAAAGCGCTTATGTAAACTTTAGCGCTTTCTTAATGCTTTGTAAGCGCTGTGTTACTTGGGTTGTGATATAAGGTGAAAAACAAGTGTTTTGGGGAAAATGCTGAGATGATGAACGTAGAACGTTACGCGTAATATATCGATGAGACATCGTCGATATCATCTGGCCTAATATACTTAAAGTTATGTATGTGTACTTGTTGTTGTTGCCGATTCTTGTATATCCGGTGCATTCACGGAATATTTTCGTCTGTCGATTTTCGATGTTATTTCGACGGTTATATCATTGAATTTGTAAAGAAGAGTAGAAAGAGAGGCAGCGGAGCGAGATGGAGGAGTAATATGCCGTTTCCTCAACTAATTGTAGAATGACAGTTGTTAATTTTTGAGTTAACGAATGGTTGACTAAATTATTTAGCGTTTTTACGTAGAATAGAAGTGAAGGAGGGGAGGAAAAAGAAGCCTTTGAAGAGAAAGGGCCGTACGACCGCCTCTTCAACAACGGGCAAGATCGGATTTTTCACATTGTGCGCAGCAAACGTATGCAGATATGTGCGGCAAGAATTCCATCGCGGGAAGATGTATTTATACCATCGCAATCAACTTGAAACAATTTGGGACGCAAAAGCCTATAAAGCTGCGGTTCAACTGAGTGGCCCTTTTAGCTTTTCGATTAAATAAAAAGCCCAGCATTTCGTCTCCCGAGATTGTTTCTATCCCTCGGTTTCTTGTCGTTCCAATTCTAATCATATCGAATCCTCGAATGGCAATACCGTGAAAGATATCTTGTCCGTTTCAATTGTGTCGCTGTGAATCATTGATAGTTTTTTGTCGCCGAAGCTGCATTCATAGCGTTTATAAAACGACGGTAAATATTATCTTATTATTTAACTAACAAGATTGTAGAGCTGAAACCGTAATGCTTTTAATCAGGGTGGATTATTCTGCCGCGTTGGATCGATCACATTAATCGGATTTGCTTCTCAAATATGCTAAATTTATAATATTCAGGGAAATTTCATTAAAAATAGAACGATTCAATGAATACAATAAATTAAGTAATCAGAAAGCCAAAATTAAAATAGATTAAATTTTAATTCTACTTATAACGAACATAATTTTATGTTTGATGTAAAATCATCGTGTGGGCGAAGGGATAATCGAATATGCGGATAAAATTAAATACGTAATTTTTAATGCGTTGTTTATTCGATAAATATGAAACATGATAGTATAAGAGATAAAAAATTAGCCGCAAAAGCGGTGAATGGATCGTTTCGATATTTATAATCGAATCGAATAAAATCACTTCGATTTGGAATTATTTTTTCAAAAATATAATATTGAAATTTATAAACGAGAATCTATGAATGTAGCTAAGCAGTCATTTAAGAAATAAATGTACTTACTGTGTTCTTTACCCGATTTCTTTATTACCTCGATTGCTGTTCCAAATGATTGTTATCCGTAACGAACCGTCATAATTCATGTTAATTAATCATTATCGATTATTGTATTTTAAATAGCTATTCCAGTTATTATTGTGCTAATATAAAAAGAGACTATTGGCCAATTATCTTCACTGTGTTATTTGTCCCTGTAAAGTTTTTAATTTTTACGAAGCAATAATTTCTGTAAGTTTCGTTTTGGTTATATCATGTTGAAGAATAATAAAGTTTAATGCGCTTTTCGCATAATTTTTCACAATTTATCGGATCACATCGTCAAAATTTATCAACCGGAAAATTCGACGATAAAAGAATGTATCAGAGAAATGGTATGAATATAACACAGCATAGATTATCATTATTTATTATTTATTTCTTTCATCACTTTTTTTTTGCAGTGATATATTATCCTGAATCATCAGAAATGCTTTTACAAAATATCTCAATTCATCAATTCTGAAAAACGCGATGCTGTTCTGAGAGCTTACGAAACTATACTTTCGTATGATATTCTTCGTGCAAAAAGTACATTGTTTTATATTATAACTTCGAAGCAATATGAGAAATTTCTTCGAAATTTTTCTTTTCCCATAATTGCACAAATATTTCGGTCAAAGTTAGTTGTTCAAAGTACTCCGTTTTTCTTTTCTGTTCGCAGAAATGTAACATTAGTTTGTAGATACATCATCTATGTTATATTATATCAAATTATCATCATCAAATTTATACGCGATATTATCGGAAGCATTCATTATCTGTCTAATAATAAAAACAATAATGATTATTCTGGAAGATCAATCATTAACGTATAGTATAAAATAAAAATTTTTTATATATCAATATTTTCCTCTTCTCATGATATATGCATGTGTGTAAAAAAAATTGCAATCTTTTCAATGATGAAAAAAGAAAAATTCACATTAAGTCCGTAAATTATGTAAACTTGAATACATATATACCCACATGCTAATTTACAACTATATTCCACCGTAGCCGATATAAAATGTTACGAAAAAGTCTTAAAACAATACATCTGCGCTTTTTACAATTTTCGAACTTTTAAACAATTAGATTGTTCATACAGGAATCAATCTCCGCCACTATTGTCTTTTGTGTATTTGTCGTTTTTTACTTCTATTCTCAACGGAGAACGTCCTCTGGTGTGATTTCCGATACGTGATCGCAGGTCACCGCCTTTTAGGGTATTCCTCAAATCGCGGCTGTTTGATGACCTTTAAAAAAAACAGAATTCGTGAATTCGCTTGCAGATATATACATATAATAATAAGTACGCATACGTTTAAAAAAGATGCGCATTTTTTCAAAGATACTGGAGGGCATACATTAAAAACATTATTGTATATCACAATTTATATAACACAAAGTATTATATACGCTCTACATGTATTCATCTACACTTTTTTAACAAAATCAGCAAGATAAAGAATATTGTCGGAACATTTAATTTTAAAAATTGATTAGAATATATGAAATATTTATTCCAACAAAAATTGACAAAAAAATACATTGCAATTGTAGAGATTTTTGATAACCAAGTGACTTCGGTGAAACACATACTGCCTCCGTTTTTTGCCAACTTATAGTTGGAAATAAAAATATATGATTAAAAAAAATTATGTTATTTGTCGTATATTAAGTAGATAACATTAACTAAATTATTTCCTTACCTGCTTTTTAAATAGCTGTCACTAGCTTCGCTTTTTGCATGATTTAATCTTGCCCATACAGTGGACGCAATACGCGGTTTGGGTGGGACTACTTTTATCACACTGCCTTTAGGGCCCTGAATCTCCTTTGCAAGCACATCTTCTTCGCTGCTGTCCTCTTCATCTTCATTGTGTTCACCTTCTTCATCTTCTTGCTCTTCTCCTTCTTCTCGCTCTTCCTCTGAGTTCATCTGGCCAAGCCTCCCTGCCATTCTCCTTCTTCTCTTTCCATCGAGTGTATTTCTTTCACGTTCTGATGGCTCTGCTGCCGAATTATCCCAGAATTATCGCGTTTTGAATTTATTGCGTTCGTATTTGTGACCACTACTTGAATGGGCTCGCGGTATTGCATTTTCGCTTTCGGTTTTCCCAGCTTTGATCGTAAGTCACCGCTGTTATTTAAGTTATTCAGAATCATCTAAAAGAAAAAGATATATCTTAGATATAACTTATGGAACACATTAAGAAAAATTTTAAAAAGATAAAAAACTAACTTGGACTCGAAGTTTCGCCCGACGCTTCTGTACTTTTTCCTCCTCATCATCGGCGTGCATTCGCATACGAGGAATTTTACTCCGTTTACACCAACTCTCATCACTGTCGCTATCGCTCAAACTGGCCTCACCCGATTCTTCAGTTTTCACCATATCCTTTTCCGGGTATTTGAGACCCAATCTTTCCTTTATGCTACGTCCTTGATCTTTAACACCATTCCTTGGAAGAAAATCATCCTCTACAACATCGTTCAAGCCCCACGTTTCGGACAACGCACCCCATGGATTTTTTGTTTGATCCTGATTTGTTTGATCCTCGTCCAATGATTTACGTTTTTGTTTTATTTGCTTGTACATACGCTTACGAGATTCCGTTAAAATTCCTTTGAGACCTACATATTTACATAGAAATAAAAAACCATTTTATCATCTATCCTCATAATTTTTAATTCTAATTTAATTTTGCTACACATAATTGCATTTACCTCCAAAGTTGGGATTTCCATACTTTTTATAGTATTCACTTCTTTTCTCTGCATTGACCTGTTTTTTGTCTGCCTTGGTAGCGAATCTCAAGTAGATTCCTTTAGATTTTGGATAATCGATACCTTTTCTCCATGTACCAGGAGGTAATGGATAATCAATATCTTTAATGCTAATGCAATTGTCCTCCTTTCCATTCTTATCTGCATTGATAGATTCGTTTTCTTCATCTGCTTTCGCTGTGTCATCTTTCATATTCTCAGAATCGTTCTCTCGATCCGAATATTTTACAATACTGCCTAAAATTCTCCTAGATAATCCCATCATAGCTCTAGCTGCTGTTTCTTTATCAAACCAGACTACATTGCCTGTAATATTACAAATTATATATCAAAATATCAGTCGAATGATATGGTGTCATTTTATTTCAAATAAAATCAAATTTTTTAAGCATACATGATACATCGTTGATCCATTCAATTGACATTGGATTATAATCTTGGAAATATTTGAATACATCTTTGGTACTCATATCTTCAGTTCCTCTCATGTGAATTACATTCAGTCTAATGTTCTTTGCGTTCTCATCATCCACAATACCCATGCTGCAATCATTACATAAGTATATGAAATAGCAGCAATAGCTTTTCAATTTCAAACTAAATCAATTTATCGAATCAATTAAGTATCTTATACCTGCTATACAGATCGTCTTCTAGTGATAATTCCTTGCATTTTTCCGTCAAGCCAAAACGTTTTGCTCGTTCCTCTAACTTCAATCTTTCCTCTTTGCTAAATATATCTATGCCTGACGTGTCTATTGATTTTTCAGAATTACTCTCTAATGTCTGTATCTAAAACAATTTAGAAGTATAATTTGAAGCACACCTGAAATATAAACAACATATATATCAATTAAAATCATTCATTTCTGTTACCTGTAATTCTGGCTGTAATATTGCTTCGGATCTCTCTATTTCATTGAAAGGCACCATCTCGACGTCTGAAGGTTCGTCGTATTCGTCCATTGTATAAATACGATACAAATGCGTTAAACGCTTAAATATCGCTAGGAAAAATCGATAGGTATCACTAATTTCACAGACAATCCGATCGTTCTGTGAATAACGGCTTCTACCATTAAATGGAAGTAATAAGTTTATAGTTTACAAATATAACTTAATCATAACACGGCAGATATATCTGCTACCCAGGTGTAGACAGGCTGGCCTGCTATAGCTACAGCTGGGATGATGATGGACAATGATAAATCACCACGATAACATCAATAAGTCTGTTCTATTTGTAACTGATTGTGAGTTATACGATTTGCCAAGAAATGACGCGTAACCAATCACCTCTTGGATATAATCGGTACGTTAAGTAAATACAACGATTGAATCAGAGAGAAATCTGAAAGCGGTCACACTGTCCTTTTTCGTATAAAGATGTTTTTTATACTGGTCACGTGATCAAAATTAATGCTTGAGTTGAGCGTCAGCATGAAAAGACACCTTTAGGGTATATTTACATGGGAGCATCA